CCTCCTCCTCCTCCTCCCCCTCCCCCTCCCTCCCTCCCTCCCTCCCTCCCTCTCCCTCCTCCTCCGCCTCCCTCCTCCTCCTCCTCCTCCTCCTCCTCCTCCTCCTCCTCCTCGTTCTCCTCCTCCTCCTCCTCCTCCTCCTCCTCCTCCTCCTCCTCCTCCTCATCCTCCTCCTCCTCCTCCCCTCCTGTGGGCCCAGCTCGCCCTCGTCGCGCCCCCAGCCGTTCGCTCGCGGGAACCGCTTGTGCGGGAAAACCCGCTCGCCGCCGACCAACACATATCACGGCGAGTTCCGGCAGCCCCGAATCCCAAAAATGTTGCCATCTCTTGGAGGTCAACTTTTTCCCCAACCAGTGCTTGCACTGAAGGGGTCCTAGCGGAAGTTGAACAATTTGGCGAACATGTCCTGCAAATTTTGGTAGCAAGCTGGGTTCCCGTGTTCCCGCTTCTGGGTTCCCGGGATCCCGGTTATTGGTTCCGGGTCGGTCTCCTCAGCGAAAACCATCCACTGATTGGGTTTTTTCTCTGGTGTAATTACCTCCGCCGCCTTCCGCCGCCGGAAGGCAGGCCTCGCTTTACTTCCGCCGCCTTCCGCTGAGGCAGAGATGACAGCCCCTTCGGCTCTCGAAAGCGAGGCCCTTTCTTCTGGAACAACCCCCCCCTGCTGAACCTCGTTTCACCGACCTCCATCCCCGCCAGCGTGGGCCGGGCCCCACTGGCCGACTGAATTACCCCCCCTGGGTGGGGAGGTACAGGCTGCCCTCTGCGGGTTTCGAGGGGCAGATCCCCGACCGAGGTGGTGAGACGGCGGGGCTCGAGGTGTGGATGGGGCTGGGGATCGAGAGCGGTCAAACGATACCGACCCCGTGCTCCCCGCCCGCGCGCCTGGGGCCCTCGAGCTGGTGCCACGTGAGGCAGCCGGCGATCTTCTCCATCCAGCGCTGCGCGCTGTCCGGGTCGCTGAGCAGGCGCGGCACGCACTCCTGGGGCGTCCGGAGGCGCGGCCGTGAGAAAGACCGAAGTCATCAGCGGAGGCCAGTCCACAAGAAACCTTCCACGAGGAACCCAACCCTGAGACCCCAGGACGTCCATGGATTTCTGGTCTGGGACTGCCCATGAACAGAAGGCATCCCCCCAGGATTTTCGTTGACCCAGGGACGTCTATGAACAGAGAGCAAAAACTCCACTCCCATAACAACCACCCCGACAAGCGAGGCCGTTTAGTAAACGCACCCAGAGAAGGAGTCGAACAGGGCAGGGCCGACGAGGCCACCTCTGCGTTCTGTGTCCGAGGGCACGCCCTGAGGCGCTGTGAGATCGAGTCCTGTGCGCGCGGGTGTGCCCATGGTGTTCTGTGTGAAGTGCGGTGCGTACTGCGAGGAACTTAAGCCAGGGGATCTGCTAAGAGCCGATTGTCACCTGAGGCCGCGATCCGCTCAAGTCAGGCACCAGTTGAAAAGAATTCGGGACGGGAAGCACCCGCAAGGCAGGGCCTCGTCTAGGAACCTGTCTGTATCCCAGTCCAGAGGGCTTTCGGAAGCAGAGCGGGACATTATGTGTGTGAGATGTCACCTCTCGCCTCAACCTCCCGCAGGCGAGGCAGGCCAATCCCAGGCTGGCTACGCGTCTCGCGAGGCCGTGCTGGAGGCCTTCGGCCTGCAGGAGGGCGACCTGAACTCGATCAGGTCGCTAGGCGAGGCGGCGCGCCGACCTCCCCAGGATCCTGAGGATGAGGAGGCCTCGGATTCGGAAGGAGAGGTATTTTAGTTTTTTCCTCTGACTTTCGGTCGCTCCACAAAACCAACAACCTCCTCCTCCTCCTCCTCCTCCTCCTCCTCCTCCTCCTCCTCCTCCTCCTCCCCTCCTCTCCTCCTCCTCCTCCTCCTCCTCCTCCTCCTCCTCCTCCTCCTCCCCTCCTCCTCCTCGCCTCCTCCTCCATCCCTCCTCCTCCTCCATCTCCTCCTCCATCTCCTCCTCCATCTCCTCCTCCCTCCTCCTCCTCCTCCTCCCCTCCTCCTCCTCCTCCTCCTCATTCTCATTACCTCCTCCTCCTCCTCCTCCTCCTCCTCCTCCTCCTCCTCCTCCTCCCTCCTCCTCCTCCTCCCTCCTCCCTCCTCCCTCCTCCCTACCCTCCTCCTCCCTCCCTCCTCCCTCCTCCCTCCTCCCTCCACCTCCTCCTCCTCCTCCTCCTCCTCCTCCTCCTCCTCCTCCTCCTCCTCCTCCTCCTCCTCCCCCTCCCTCCTCCCCCTCCCCCTCCCCCTCCCCCTCCCCGCGGCCGATCAAGGAGGCGCTCGCGCACGGCGGGCCGCCCTGCGCGAGCGCCTCTTCGAGCGGCCAGGGGCGCCCGATGAGTCCACGCATCGGCGCATTCGCAGGAGCGCGGGGGCGGGCGCGCCCCTTCTCCCTTCCCAAGGGGCCGCGAAAAACCTCCTGAGCGGCCAGCAAGAACCTCCTGAGGGGGCCTCCAAGAACCTCCAGATGGTCCACCAAGAGCCTCCAGAGGGGCCCACAAGAACCCCCAGAGGGTCCATCAAGAGCCTCCTGAGGGGCCACCAAGAGCTTCCCCAGGGGCCCCCAAGAACCTCCAGCGGGTCAACTGAGAGCCTCCTGTGGGGCCACCCAGAGCTTCGAACCCCAACCTCCGAAGTTTAGGGGCTCTCCTCTCCAGATTTCGGTGGGATCGAGAGAGGGGATTCCCTAAAATCTGAAGTTTCGGGGTTGAACCTGTGGATTCCTCCTCATCCTCCTCCCCCCTCCTCCCTCCCCCTGCTCCCTGCTAACTCCTCCCTGGTCCCTCCTCCCTCCTCCTTCTCCTCCTCCTCCTCCTCCTCCTCCTCCTCCTCCTCCTCCTCCCTCCTCCTCCTCCTCCTCCTCCTCCCTCCTCCTCCCTAATCCTCCCTCCCCTCTCCTCCTCCCATCCTCCTCCCTCCCTACCTCCTCCCTCCTCCCTCCTCCTCCTCCCTCCCCCCCCCGCTACCCCATCCTCCCTCCCCCTCCCCTTCGAAGTGCCCATCCCTCCCTATATCGTTGCCCCTGCCAGCCGGCCCATTAGCCCAGCCGGCCCCAAGCGCGCGCCGCATCTCCTGGCAGACCTGCACGACGGCCTCCCGCAGGTGCGCCGCGGCGGGCCCGGCGCCCCTTGCGACGGGGCACCTCGTCGGCTGGCCGACCGCGCGCTTTCTTTTTTTTGTCGGGGACTGCTCGCTGGACTGCTCAAGTGGTGAAGGACCCCTCGGGGCCGAGACCGCCCCACCGCGAGCGCCACCGCCCCCAGGGGCCTCGGGCCAACGCAGTCGGGGTCGGCGGGCGAGCACCCCATGGGGGGGGGACGCCTACATGCTCGTCCAGGCGCCCAACGGGGGGGGAGTGCCGGCAAGAGGTGCGCTCCCATGAAGGAGGGCTCGTTCCCCGGCGGAAGATGAAAAGCTCTGAAGGTGTTCGTCCCTGACCTCCCGGGAGGGCTAAAACATAGAACCTCGACATCTGAGTACCTGTCGTGGTTTTAGGCGGTCCAGATAGGTTTGTAGGTCTAGAGAGCTACTTTTGCGGAGTCTGGAAGATCAGTTGGTTCCCCAGCAGACGGATTCGCTTCTGCGGGGGAACGAACCTCCGTTTTGGAGATGGTCACTGGGGAACGAACCCTTCTGCTAGAGGCCTCCTAGATGGGGTCGGAGTAGATGGGGTCGGATGATCGCGCCGCATCGTCGATACATCGGCGATGTATCGGTGATGCATCGACGATGCATTGGCGATGCACCGGCGATGCATCGCCGACATCGGCGATACATCGGCGACGTCGACGTGAAGCAAATCGGGCTGCACATCGAGCCTCATCTGCGATACATCGGCGATGCGGCGCGATCCTCCGACCCCATCCACTCCGACCCCATCCAGGAGGCCCAGATCTGCTGGGGAACGGACCCTTCTGCCCTCCGGGAGCGCCCTGGACGATCTATCCTGGTCCTGGGCCTGTCTGACAGACCCCCTCGGCTCACGAAAAAATCACGACTTCCGGCCGTCGGTAATGTTTTGGATAACCCAAAAGAGGGTCCAGCTGAAAGGGGGTGGTGCAATGGATTTGGGGCATGTGTATTGTAACTGTGTTGCGCCGGAGACTTGGGTTGCATCGTATTGCAAGTAGTACATTGCACGCGACAATCCAGCAATACATCTGCGCCCTGGAATGTACTGCACGCCCCAAGTGTATTTTGGCGGCGCGCACAAGGGGGTGGGGGGAGAAGGGAGGGCTTCTTAGAAGCAGGCTGCTTCTTAGAAGGCGCCGGCCTTACATCTATAGATAAGGCCCGCGCCTGCTAAGAAGCAGGGGTGTTTCTAAGAAGCCCTCCCCCCTCCCCCCACCCCCCTCTGCGCGTGGCTGAGTATTGCAGCCCCGCAAATCTGTTGCACCCAATCTATTGCACCCCCCCCCCTGTCGCTGGACCCCCTTCTGGGTCAACCCACAGATGTTCGCCGGTGCCTCGGGGCTCCCCACAACCTCGGGAAGCGCCTCGCCGATAGGGCCTTCCCAGGGTGCCCGAGGTCCTCCCGAGCGGACGCCCTCCCGCGCCGTGAGAAGCGACGGGAAGTCTGTGGCAACGTTCGGCCTCCGGGGGCCCTTACTTACCAGGACTAGAATGCTGGTCCCCTTCCTGGAAGCGCCCTGGAAGATCTATCCTGGTCCTGGTCCTGTCCCTGCAGACCCCCTCGGCTCCTGAAAAAAAACCGACTTCCAGCTGTCGGCAAGGCTCGCCGGTGCTTCGAGGCTCCCCATAACCTCGGAAAAGGCGCCTCGCCGAGGGGGGCGCTCCCGGGGTGACCCCGAGGTCGTCCCGAGCGGACGCCGGAGGACCCCCCAAAGACCATGCACACCGTACCTCCTCCTCCTCCTCTTCCTCCTCCTCCTCCTCCATCCTCCTCCATCCTCCTCCATCCTTCTCCCTCCTCCTCCTCCTCCTCCTCCTCCCTCCTTCCTCCTTCCTCCTTCCTCCTTCCTCCTTCCTCCTTCCTCCTCCCTCCTCCTCCTCCTCCTCCTCCTCCTCCTCCTCTCCTTCTCTCCTCCTCCTCCTCCTCCTCCTCCTCCTCCTCCTCCTCCTCCTCCTCCTCCTCCTCCTCCTCCTCCTCCTCTCCTCCTCCTCCTCATTCTTCTCCCCCTCCTCCTCCTCCTCCGCCTCCTCCTCCTCCTCCACACAGAGCCCCTCGGGCAATGAAAAATCCGGACGGGCTGAAACACGCTCAAAGTCGTTCACAGAGTTTCGTCTTGTCACATGCACGTCAAAGAGGTAAGCATCCGCCCCGACGCCTGCAAAGTGATCGACGCTCCTGTCTTCCATCCTGGCGCAGGCGTTCGCGAGGACTTTGGGCCCCCCCTTACCAAGCTGGAGTGATAATGGCACGAGCGTGCACCCCCACGCCGTGAAAAGCGACGGGATGTTTGTGGCAGTGTTCGGCCTTCAGGGGCCCTTCGGGGAACCGGGTCAATCCAGACCCGGGTCAGTCAGGCCTTGCGGAATCCTGCAAGATCCTGCAGGATCCTGCACTCAAGCGCGGGTCAATGCGAAGGATCCTGCAAAATCCTGGAGAACCCTGCACCCAAATAGCCCGGGTCAATGCGACCCTGGCCCTGCAGGAGCCTGCAAGATCCCGCGCTCTGGCTGACCCCCGTTTGCATCGACTCCCGTCTCAAGGCTCCCGAGGCATCACCAGGACTAAAATGCCGGTTCCCAGGAAGGGGACAGGGAGGAGGAGGAGGAGGAAGATGAGGAGGAGGGGGGGGAGGAGGAGGACGAGGAGGAGGAGGAGGAGGAGGAGGAGGAGGAGAAGGTGGAGGAGGAGGAGGACCACGCAGTTGACCGTTGGTCAATCTAAAAAGAGAGGTAGCCTGCCCTTGGATTAAGGGAGGCAAACGGTGAGGAAGCTAGACTTCCCCTCTTGTGAATTTGGCAAGATAGGCCGCCCCAGACGCAGTGGCCTTCTTGCATTCTTTGAAGAGATTCTGACCCGCTCTGGTGGCGTGGGAGCCGCAGGTCAGGCAAATGTATGTGCCTTTGGCAGACATGACCATATCATGAGACGGGTCAACATACCTGGCACCGATGTATACATGGTGGAGAGACTTCGCTCCCTCGAATCCCGAACGGGGTTCCGCTAAAACACACGGGGCGGCAAGAAACTCCTGGGACGGAATATTACCGTGCGAGTTGACAGATATGACCGAACAACACAAATTACAAAAGAGCCTCGACACGGGGCCCTCTCCTACAGGAATCATATTGTGTGCTGACTCCCTAAGCTGCTTGGCTAGCTTGGGGCGAGGGTTGAAGGCTCGAGGAGGAGGAGGAGGGACTGCTGGTTTCGACTTGGCTCTGGCTTTCTTGCGAGCTCTCGGGGCCTGGGGATTGTCTCCAGAGGCCTCTGAAAATCTCGAGAGGAAAACCTCACAAGCCCGAATTCTAACAGCACGCGTCAGGGCCTCAGAAATCTGGACCGCCTCCACCTCCCCCGCCTGCAACTGGATATTCTTGGCCGTGTGGTCAGCCAGTTCATCAGCTGCCTTGTTGCCAACCCACGCAAAGACGAGCTCCTTTTTCTCCGCAGCCTGATCTGGAGTCATGTGCGACTCGATCTTGATGATGCTGGTCGGCTTCTCTTGAAGAAGCCGCTGAATTCGACGCCACTCGTTCCTAAATCCAGTAGGAAAGAAATCCAGGAGGACCTTACTGACGTTTTTCTGGACATATGACGAGTCCGTGACGAAGACGAGTGGTCGGCCCGCAGGGGCCTCCTCCAGGAACCTCAAGAGCGCTATCATCTCGCCGTGATTGATTGTCTGGGGTCCCCAGGTGGCTCCCGAGGACACCCTTGCCAAGGCCAGGGAGGGAGCTGGGTTCGCTAGGTCGAAATCCTCGAAGACAACATATGCCCAAGACACCCTCCTGAATCTGGCCTGGTCTGAATATTTGCCCCCTGAGGCATCACCTGCGCCGACGATCAGGTCTGTGCCGTCGGGGAAGAAGCCGTGGCTGTGCACAAAAATGTCCGCCTCGTCGGGCGGCTGCGAAACTTGTGTCCACGACGACGGAGTGAGACCTCGTAGCCACACTGACGGCTGTGAATCCACCTGGGTGCGAGCCCGATGCACAAGAGCCTCGATGCTGGTGGTCGAGGGCAGGGCGTCGTTCGCGGAACATTCCCAAATTCGGTGGAAAGTAGACTCTGGTCGTCCACCATCACAGCGGTCACAAATAACAGAATAGTCAGGCGGGTTGAGGATGCTTTGAATTCTCTCTCTGGCCCACTGACCACCACAGCAGACGTTAACTAAAGCTCCTGCCCACTTAAGTTGATATTTATCTCTAGCTCGTCGTAACTGCTGTCGTACACCAGTTAAGTCTACTCCGTTGGCAACATCAGCGCTTTCGTAATGTTTAGCTGCTCGCTTCCAAAGTACCCGACGAACTGAATCGGCTAGGTCTTGGCGGATGTCATCTAGATCTAGCGGACCAGCTTCAAGGACCTCTGGAGAAGCCTGATAAACGTTCCCAAGATCAGACACCCAATGCCAAGGCCCGATGGGGTCCCAGTTGATGTCCAAAAGGGTATTCACTACTGCTCTGGTGGGGCCTGTGATTCTGCGCCATCGATGTTTAGGAGTCTCTCTAGCCTTAGCCACGTGCTGAGACCAGTCGCGTGCTGCAAAAGCTCGAGCTTCCGCTCCTGAGGCAAGAATGGCCATCCAGCTGTCGAGCATCTTAAATACCTGCGAGATTGCTGGATCTTGATCTCCAAGCTCCAGCTGTAAAAGAGTGTCAAGGCACCTGCCGCGGACTGACAGAGTGAAAGCGCCTCCTATAGCCCTGCGCCAAGCCTGCACTGCCGACGGGGACATACCGTACACAGCTGCATCATATTGAACTTTTGCATAACATCCTCTATGTATCACTCGTCGTGCTGCTGCTCTGCCTGTTCTGCCTGCTCCAATAAGTTCCCGAGCTCGGCCTACTTGCTTCCATGCTGCTTTGCGACGTGCTGCTGCTTTAGGTCGTGCTCGCATGTTTGTGCCTCTGTCCGTGCCTAGATCAACTGCTTTGTGCGCAAAAGTGATCTTGATGTTGTGCTGTGCCAGCTTGCGTGCAATGTCCTTTGCTAAATCCAGG